TTCTGAGAGATCTATATCAGACTGCTAGGTCATTCAACTAATTTTTGAGTTGTAGAAAAAATCTCCAAACTTTTTTCTAAAATCTCTGTTTATCCCACTAATAAGCTTTATCTATAGCTAGGAGTTGGTCGCATTGTTACAAAAAACGAATGGGCACGAAAATGGCCAAACCAGCCTTCCTACATCAAAATAATTAGAGTAAGTGGCTCAAGCTGTTAAGATAGCATTGATGCATCAAATCTATCAGCTCAATTTTTGGTGCCATTAGTTATAATTTAAGACACTTTGTAGGATCACTTATGCTTTTAGGCTCAACCAACTATGGATCGATGGCTGTTTGGTGGTAAAATCTGGGGAGAATGGACTTACCGTGGTCGAAATCTGGGTATCTATGAATTTGCACATGATCTCAACAGATCTGACTGGAGGCTTATTCATAAGTACTTATGCTGTTTACTTATTTTGTCAGTGTCCTGAATATTTTTTGTTTTGAGACATGAAGAGAAGGAGTTTACGGAGTGTAAGGAGCCAATGGGTGAAATCACGTTGCCAAACTCTTTTCCTATACCTCCGCTTCAGGTGCTTTTCTTTGCAAAAACTTTACTTCAAATTAAACGCAATGATAACATTTAGATTCTTTTTGCTAAGAAAGCATGCGAGAAAGCTGGTGTTCCATTCCACGAGGAACAGAAAAGAGCACCACTGAAACTTTGTATCGATCCAGAGTTTCAAATGTTAACTCCTTTCATCAAGCAGGTATAATCATAGACTATTCTTTTATCAGTTATATACTTACCCGTGGCTAAACTAGGCTGAACCAGCGAAAAAAGGCACTTCTATCTATGAAGAGGTCGATCCGAAAGTCTACTTAGATCTCTACGGAAAAGAGCCACCTGTGAAGGTTTGTTATACTATCACTCTGTTTTTGTTTAAATTAGTATATTAAATTCAAATAATTCAGGTAGAGGCATGGAATATTGGTCCTGCTTCGTTTACTCCACGTTTTTCACCGGCTGATGATGTGAAAGTAAAGCCTCAGCTTAGCTCATAATGAACAAGTTTTGTTCATGTAAATGCATGTACTTAGGTTAAGATGTTGAATTGTATAGCTTAGGTAATATTCGTTATGTTGTTGATCAGTGCACTACTTATATATGCTAAAATTGTTAGAGAGTGTATTGTTACTAGTGTGCAACCACATGAAACAAATCAGCTGCTTTTGCAGCAATAAGTAAGAGGGTTGACCACAACCCTTGGGGATGGATTAAGAAATTAAAAAAAAATTACAGGAATATCAAGAGGCTGCGGGGAGCTTAAATATTTTTTAAAGGACGCTAGACATGAGCAGTGTTGAGGGAGATCGCCGAGTGAGCGGAGTGAAGTGAAAACGTCCGCAGCGCTTTTCTCACTTAGCAGAAAATTATTCTAACTCAGGCCAGTAGGTTGGCTAAATTGTTGGCCGTCATAATCTGATGGCAACTCAAACTCTAGTTTTGTCCGGACTCTGCCTTTAACATATTGATGGAATCCCAATTTTTCGTTCACCATTTTAAATATGAACACTTTTTCCACGTTCCATTTATGGACTGATTATTGTTCTACCTGTTACTGTTATTGATTGTCTCATTAGCACGAAAATCATACCATCTTGCCCACTATGGTCTTACTAAAGACTTACAGTAGCTACGTCATAAATTTTCGAAGCCACAGATTTTTTCTAAAATTCAAATTGGTTTTCTTCCTACTTTATGACTCACTTACCAAGTATCTTTTCATGCAAAATTAGAAACCTATGAGTATATGTTAGAAAGATTAACATATTTTATCAGCAAATCTGCACAATACAGCATTTAAGAGC